CGGTATGCCAACCACTTGACGTCGGGGTGATGGCGCCGTTCAAGCGGAACCTACGTAACTTGTGGTTGTACGAAGAGCAGCTTGAAGGGGACGACGATGAAGACCCGTACTCACCAACTGCTCGTCAAAAGCGAATGGCCATGGTGTTGCGTGCCATTGCTGCATGGGATATGGTCACTGCTGACGTCATTCGACAGGCATTTGCCAAGGCACTTCGTGTAAATTGAATACAAATATTTTTTTGCAATTTAAATACATTTTATTTCATACAAATTCCTTGATATTGAGTGAAGTTAATTTTTATAGAAAAAAGTTCGACGCGCCCGGGACTTGAACCCGGGGCTCACTCAAGACACACAACGTGTTTAACCACTGCGCTATCGCGTCGAACGCTTACGCTTGTGCGTCATCCATTGTATCAATCGAAGTATTGTTTTTCTTCACCTCTGAATACTTATGACCTCTTCAATCGGTAGCTTGAAAGTTCTTGAGTGTCCTTCTTGCACCTTCTTTTGATGTAGAATATAATTACCTCTTGAAATGATTAAATTTTTGAAAGCGGTCTGTGATAGGCTGCATTAATTTTCGAATATCGAAGCACCATGACCAATCAGATTGTAGAATTTACCGTCTAACTCGAAGACAGGGTGGGCGTTGCATTCCGTCCGTCAGTAAGATTCGAACAACATTATTATTATTATTAAAATAAATATAAAAAAATCCATGTTCGAACCATCTAAAATATTGTGGATTCGATACGAATTTCCAGTTCCCGTCGAATCGAATGATCTCGCCGCCGAATCGAATCACGAATCAGATGCTTTGGCTACTCCAATTTTGATTTGAGACATCAAGCCCGAGAACCTTCTGATTGGCTTCCACGTATATATATATATATATATATATATTGTCGTTTTACCAAAATATGTAAAAATAGTCCGATTCGAATCACAAATCGACGCTATTGGCTAATCCATTTTTGAGTGGATTTGATTGGCACTTGCAGAAAGACAAATATATTCAACCAATCAGAAAACTCCATTATGATTCAATATTGGTTAGACAAACCATGCGAATGTTGCAAGTTTATAGCGAATTCACAATACTAAACATTTTTTTCATTTTGAATGAGTTTCCAAGATATCTAGTAGTCTTCAAAGCAATAGGGGTGTGTAGTACACCATTTTGCAGTTAAGTTGGACGAATGCCCGATATATTTGGCCGTGCGCCCGATATAATTGGCCATGTGCCCGTTTAATTTGGCACACGGATGTCCTGTGCCCGATATATTTGGCGATGTGCTCGATATAATTAGCCGTGTGCCCAAGTAATTGGCCATCTGCCCGATGAATTGTGTCGTGTGCCCGATGAAATTGAAATAACTCAAAGAATTATATTCCATGGAGTGCAAAGCAGTTGTGGTGGAAACATCATGTGGTTAAGCTCGGAGGAAAACGCGCGAAGGCAAGAATTCGAAATTTATACTTGAATAAACTAGAGTTTAAGTTCATAATGCGGGCACTGCTTTTCTCCAACACTTTGAATGCTCAATATTCAAATCGCCAGGGCACGCACAGCATGGACGTCGCTGCACCCCCATGAACTCTGGTAATGATAGCAAAATGAAGTACTAGTATTGCCCCTTTACTTCAACGTTTCGTCCATACTTCAACTCCGTTCAAAATTTGAATCTGTCGTGCGCAGAGCCCATTCTTCGATTTACCTCAAGCTACGCACCCTCGATGAACGCGCGGAGGCCATGGGCAACATGGGCGTTGGGATGTGACGTCACAGCAACGATGCGGCATGTGTCGTTTGACGACCATTTCTATTTTGAACTGACTTTTTATTGCGTGATTTCCATTTTCATCGGGCACACGACACAATTCATCGGGCACATGGGAAATTGCTAGGGCACACGGCCAATTATATCGGGCACACCGCCAAATATATCGGGCACACGACATCCGGGTGCCAAATTTAACGGGCACATGGCCAATTATATCGGGCACACCACCAAATATATCGGACATTCGTCCAACTTAACTGCAAAAAGGTGTAGTGAAGCTGTAAAGAACACGCCAACAGGACATCGACTACTGATATACATATTGTCTTTCTTTTCCCCAAAATTTGGACTTTTGTGCTGAAACGCCAAATCTATCGGTCGATTCGTTGTACTGATATATTTTGTATGTAAAAGGGTGTCCTGTGGTGCTTGGTATTACACTAATTGAAGCCACACACACTAATTTGACGTTGATGATGGTTTCCGGCAATCTGATTGGCTAAACCCTAATTCTGCCGATTCTTGTTTCTTTGGTTGTGTCGTCGATGCATTCTCCATGTCGCATCTCCAGTTTAGAATATAAACACAGTACAATATGAGCATCCCAATCGCATGTGGTCCTTCTTAGGTATTTACACGGACGCGAGGAACGCCTGGAGCATCAAGTCAGGGTCATCTACGTTTGTTTCGGGCTTGGTCGGGTCGAACGACGCGCGGATCTGCTGGCGTCCAAACCATCGGCCGTGCATGGCTCGCAGGCATGCGACGGCGCTGTCTAGCGCTTCAAACTCCACCACCACGTCGTTCGAGTCTGGCCGGATCAACACCTGGCACATCATTGTCGATCTCTCTCTCAAAGACATGTGATACAAGGTACCTGCAACACGGTGCCAAAATTCGAGCATTCCAATCGCAAATCGTCCTCTACATCCAAGTACTCGTCCGACAACGGCGCTTCGTGAGGGTCCTCGTCGAGGATGCCACGTAGCACCACCGATCGCGACGGTTCGTCCAATGTGTTTTCCACTGGCTGCACATGCGTAATCGGTGGAGATAACGAAGGAGGAGGGGACGCCGCGGCGACACATGATGACGGAACAAACGCTGGGGCGGCGGTGCCGACAGGAGTCGACGCCGTGGCCCCCAAACCACCATGGAATTGATCGTGGATTTCTTGTAAAAATGCATCCACCATGTTGTCGGTAGGCGGCGCGTCCTTGTCTGGGGCGGCGGCGGCGGCGGGTTTCTTGCTGTAGTCGGCGGCGGTGGCCCTGTGGCAATGTTAGATGTTGTGGAAAAGGGGGGTCAACGTACGTGATCCGGACGCCGGGTTTGAGCTCGAGATGGTGCAACTGGTATCGTCAGCAAACGTCGTGGCTAAAGTAGTACCTTGGCAATTGCAGCGTTCATCATGGCAACAGTGGAAAACACAACCAACGCATCGCCCTAGGTCGTGCGATGAGCATTTGGTGGGCATATACACGACGACGATACCTTGAGACTTCCACGCTCGTCCTTGTAGAACTTGACGCGCTTGACGCGACCCAGGCGGTGGCACAACGTTTCTACGGCATGCTCGTCAAAAACGAGTCGCCGACGTTGGGGTCGACAGCATATATATACGTACCCAGCTGTTTGCATGCAATGTACGTCGTCAGACCGGTGATATACACCCCTGCGCTAGTTTCCTTCTTGTGCCTGGAACCTCCTCCATCCCCACCGCCACTTGTAATCCGAACTTGGGCTCGCGCGAGGGCATCCTCGCGCTCTCGGTCCAACCTACACGCACTCACGATCAATCTCGACGTCCATGGCCATAGCGCGTACCTGTCGATGTACTCAAAGTTCTTGTCCAAAGCCGCTTCAATGCGGTAGAACTCCCGGTCCAGGATGCGCTGCATGATCGCATGAGACTCCATCGCCAAGCGAATGCTCGAATGAATGCGTTCAAAACAATTATCCGGATGCACGCAGGCTCCGGATATCAGGATACCACATACTGTCCATGGGGAACAACGAGAGCACCCCACTGCCTGCCGCGGCTGCGGGCGATCCCTGTGCCGCCGCCCTGGAAGCGTATCTTCAGTGCGTCGTCGTATCATGGAACTCATGATTAATACTGATGGTTTGATGGCGTAGATGTGTGGACATCAAGACAACACAGCGAGGCGGGCTTCGGGACGGCGACGAGTGCGAACACGAGATCGCAGCGTACAAGGAGTGCCGTCAGTTGCACAAGAAGAAGGTTGTCGCCGTGGCCGCCGCGGAGACACGGGACGTCAAACAGCCTCTCCCTCGATAAAACGGGGAGATTCGAATTGGGGGGTCTAATTCTCCTTCCTATTAACAATTTTCCTAAAACTCTTCTTCGTCCGACGCGTAGTCGTGCTCTGACAAGCTAGTGATCCGAGTTGCTAGGATGGGGGTCGTGTCGTTGCGACGATGATGTGGCTCGATGATGATAGATGTGTTGGGACCCATGGACGCGGTCGAGGATGGGGGCATATGCAGGTTCTTGGACATGGAGCGAATCAACTTGGCGCGCTCCCGAATCCCGCGGACATCGCGCATGCTGCTCAGCGTCTCGGCGTCGTCCCAGTCGTCGACGCTGCTGTGTTCGGTGTCCAAAAAGCTGTTCTTCCCGGCATCTCCGTCGTCCATCATGATGTGAATCTCGTCGTCGTCGTCGTCGTCGTCCACTTTCTTGCGTGGTAAATGCGCAGGTGGAGGAGAATGTGCCGCGGCGGCGGCGGATGGAACAGCGTGATGCTTTTGGGTGGCTGGCGCTACGAAAGCACCAGAATTTGCCGCTACTTTGGGGACCATGATCGGCTCGCTTCTTTGCCGGCCGATAGGCAGCGGGTGCATGGGATGAGGTTGTTGGGTTGGCGGCGGTTGTGGTTGGACAGGTTCATCCGTGGAATGTGTGGGGAGGGGATGCATGTGGGAGTGATTCGATGGAGCGTTGTCTTGCATGTGTGTCCGCGGAGGGTGGACCGATGACGACGATGACTGCACATGACGGGTAGGCGGGCCAAATGAAGCGGCTTTGGAGGCCAAGGGGGCGCGGCCCAACGTGCGTGTAGGATGATCTTGGTTGAATTCGTGGTAGCTGGAGCCACCATGCGAAGGCGGCATAGTCTGTGGTCGCTGCGTCGTCGTTGTGTTGGGCAGTGACCGCGCCGAGTCCGTGGGGAGTTTGCTCGGCCTTAGGCCGCTACGGACCATCATGCGCCTTCGGGTGGAGTCGCCGCATATCCTGTTGTTCGTCGGGTACTGCAGGAGCGTGGTCTTGACTCCAGCGTTGAACGACATCGAGAAGTACTGTGCGCAGCACCAGCAGCAGCAGCAGTGGGCTTGTCAAGGTGTCTGTGTCGGCTGTTACCGTGTGTTACTGGCCTCCGCCCCGTTATGGGCCAGGTTTTTACAATAGGTAATACGTTTAAACGTGTTTGGAACTCAACCCAGAAAAAGACAGGCGCACGAGGGACATACACACATCGGTTGCGGTGTAGAGGCACCAGCAACGCATCCCAATTGCCGTGAGGACGTACACTGTTTCTCCACAGCACGCGCTGCCTCACTCAGTATTCGAAGGACTGGGGAAGTGGATTGTAATCGCGAAGCTAGCAAAAGCTAGTACTACTACGTATGAATAGTACACTGTATTATTGTGTAGTTTTCGCTAACGTTATGAACTTCCGAAGTTGTTCACGTGGCATTCTGATCTATCGATATTGAATCACACTGGAAGTTCTGATTGGCTGAATATATTTGTCCTTTCTCTAAGCGCCAATCACATCGAATCATAATTCAATTAGCCAATAGGCATCGATGTCGAGATTGGATTCTGTGACAATACTACGTTTTTAATAACTGTAAAAAACAATTCACGATAGTATTTTTTACTAGTATGTACGGTAATCCCGCCAAATATGATTCGCAACTCGGATCTTGTACTGTTTGTGGTTGGTAAAGACTTAGTACTACGTGTAGTAAGTCGTGTACAAACTATATGTATATACCTCCGATTGGAAATGATTGATAGGTTTCACTTTGTTAGCCTTGAACACTCAGTCAAAACAGGGTATTGCCTTGACGATGGGTTTACTGCCACGTAGAGAATTTCACCAGAAATCCGATTTTAGTGCTCAGAGAGTCCTAATTAGAATATCTTACAGTTAGAAGTTATGGTCAATACCCAATCAGGAATGATGCTCATTTTGCACTGTGCTTCTGTATAATTTCTATACACCCATATCTGATTTCTCCTGAACTTATCTGGATATAGAGGTTTAGTGAGAGGTATGTGGTACAGCCAATATTTTCAATACCTGTATAATTTAATTGTAATTGTACCTAACCGGTAAAGCTATCAATCATTTCCAATCTGAGGTACTAACGACTTGCACAACAAGTACACTATCGTTACTACGGGAGTAAAACTTGATACCGGTAGTGAGACTCAAGTTTCTCACTGTGAAACTTGGGCAAGTACACGCACGTCACATTTGGAGATTTGTGCCCAAATTACAGACGTTACTTCGAAGTACGTTTTTGTTTTCTTTAGGATTCAGGTAATGTTCCGAATACAGTACTGTACTGGTAGTAAGTACTTCGAAGTACTTCGAAGTACTACATAGTACAAAGTAGTAGTTTCTTTACAAAATGATGGTCTTGTCTATCCCAAGCCAACCCACCCCCCACGAAACATCGAGCGCGAAGAATCTACGCAGCATCCCTTGAAGGACCGGACGTTGTTGTTTACTTCCAACATCATGCTCCCAAAGACATTGCACTTGTGGTGCTACAGGGTACTAAGTACTAAGGACTACGATCGATGGCATACATCGATATCCAACGCTCAGAGAAATTTGTGGTGTAATCACACCATACTGGCTCTTCCCGAAGTTTACCCCTTGCGTTAAACAATAAAACGCCTGAATCCACATAAAGTCCGATTCATGGTCCCACTGTACTTATTAGGGTGCGATGAGTACTCATCTGGTTGGTACTGTACGTCACAGTCAAATTCAATGCTTTCAAATGGCAGTAGTGATACGGAGGCTGAGTTTCACATTCCAGAGCGTGACAGTATGTAGCGAACGACGACAGAGCATCACACCGCAGCGGAGGTCGTGTGCATAATTTTGTGCAGCTGGCGGTGCCTTGGCGATAAGTGAGTCCCGAATGTCCCATCGATATTCCATTTGTTGGGGTAATGCGGCAGGATGTAAGTACACTGTACAGTACGTAGGTCGTGCTGCTACCCAGACGAGGCCAACAACGACAGAGTTCTTTTACTTGGTGTTTGTATTGTCGGAAGCGTACCGTTGTAATTACCTTAAATAGTGTTTCTGATCTGTGAATGAGGTGCGAGTTGTTTGCCGTTCATGTTGCGGCGCGTGTGTACTTGTCGTCGGTCCCGTGGGCATCAAGAAGCGTGTTACTGTAGGGACTACGCCTCAGTAAATGTGCTCCAGATTCTAACTTCAGTTGATTGTATCTATGTTACACGACAAGGGCGGCAACCTGGTCCTCGGCTCGTCCTATTATGTCTTGTTCGTCGTCGTCGCTGCTGTCGTCTTCCGCATCGAACACATAAATATCTTCGAGCTTGCTCATGTCGTCTGGGAACTGAATGCGTTTCGTATGCGCTTTCCTCGGCAAGTCGGTGTCCATGCTTCGCTGGAACTCGTCCGGAATGCGCATGCGGGCCTCTTGCAACTTGCGGCTGAGCTGGCCTTCCGCCGCGCGTTTGCGGATGTTCTTGGCGCGCGATATGATGTCGCTCGTGACCTTGAGGCGGTGGGACGTACTGCTTTGGCCCTTGTACCCGCCTAAGAACGCCACGACGTTCTTGTTCACGGCGGCCTTCTGCTTGAACTCCCGCGTCCGCGCCGACTCTGGCGCCCGCGACGACACGAGGTCCACATTGCGCAGCGAGCTGAAGATGCTCTCGTCCACGTCGTCGGCCGAGTCGGCGGGGGTCGGCGGCGGAGGCATCGGCGGTGTGGCGACTTCAACGGGGGCCACCTTGAGGATAGATGTGACTGGGTTCCGCGGTCGATCTGGGTGTGTTGTCATGTTTACGCGGTTGTTGTTCCCGAGGAGGTATGATGAGGCCATGGGCGGCGGGGGGACGACGGTCGTCGATGAACGAATAGGAGGGGGGGTGATCTTGCAAAGCTTGGATGAAGTGGATGTGGTGGAGGGTACGGTCGGCTTTGGTGGTGACAAAGGAACGCTGGCGGAGGAGGCCGCGGGGCGCCGCGTCCTCGGCACGTCCGCGACCGTTTGAAATGATCGTGCTGCTGTGGTGGTCCCCTTCGACGGAGGAGTGGCGTTGCCGCTGGCCAGAGGAATGGACTTCTTCGGTGGCAACGTATATGACGAGTCGACAAGCGTCTGGCCCAATGACGAGCCTTCCTGTGACGACGTGACGGAACCTCGTCGCGTGTTTCGCCGAAACCCGAGCAGACCGCTGCTCGGGTTCACGCGGAGAGACATGGCGTTGGCGCTGGCATACGTGTGAATGAACTCGCTTGGCGAGGACGGGGCAGTGTCTGTCGCGTCAGGGGAAGCTAACGAGCTCATTGGAGCTCTCGAGGACGAGGATGTCCTTGCAAGGTTGGCAAGGATTGGCGCTTCTTGCCACCGCATGCACATCGAGACGGGGGTGTCAATATCCATCTCGAATGCCGCCGTGAGGTCGTCTTCGTCGTCGAGGGACGATGACGTGGAGACGCTCGACGCGTTGTCCTGCGAAGTTACACTGGAGTTGGTGCGGTCTATGGAGCATCCTCGCAAACTGGAATTGCGCGAGGTGGTAGGTGAAAGGAGTGCCGGCTGCGTCTGTTGATGTTTGCCAATGCTGTAGCAACAACCACTTTCCGCCCGTGGATCCCCTTGAGCCAACATACATTAATCCCTATCATACAGTGTCGGACATACCGATCGAAGATTGGTAGGTCTGCGTTGGAGGCGTCGGCGGTATGCGCAGCGAGTGGAAGAAGATGGTCGTCATGGTGATGTGTACAATACGACGGCGCCTCTGCGCAATGTCCTCGACGCAGATGAGGAACTGCAAACCTGCCTCTACGCGACACTTATTCGCTTGGCGTTTGTATGCAGAGAATTTCTCCGGATGTTCCAATCCCAAAATATCCGGATAAATGCACCAATCACACGTTTGCAATGTGGCCGCAGCTTGTGTATGTCACAGACATTTTGAGCGAAATTATCTCTAATATTCTTCCATTTTTGGCAACTTTTCATTGGTCCGTCCGAATTGTGTCCGTGGATCGAATGTCGGAAAAATAACGTCATTTTTCTCACATCGACCAAGCCTTGCGAGTATCCGCCACTAAATTGCGCACACGACAGCGTAAAGTAGCAGAAGTCGTGTGTATATTTTTTACAGGTGGTGCTTTGGCGAGGAGAGAGCCCCAAATCGTGCACGTCACCGAATGTCCTATCGATTCCTTTTGTTGGGAAAAGCGGCAGGTACATTTAGGCCGTGTCGCAAACCGGACGAGACCTGTTCTACGACGAAGTACTTTTACTGGGTATTTGTATTGACCACCACCAATGAATACGTTTGTGTCGTAAGTACGCCTGCATACTCCATATGGTTTCAGGGTACTTCAAGTAACCAATTAGATTCTCAGAATGCAAAATTCTTAGCCAACCGTATTGCAACCTTCATAATTCTTAGCCAATCATACTGCCTTGCTCGATTTGTTGGCGATTTCGACCATCACATTTTGCTATGTAGGTATTGGGAAATTCCAATGAAATGATCTACTTCGAAGTAATGATTCAACCTTATTGAAATATTCAAGTAGCCGTGAATTTTTACAAATCAGGAAGTTTCACATCAGCCAACTCCACTCCTTGGAATACGCACTACTTACCAGTGTTATTTGAGCGTTGCACGCTTTATCGTCAAGTATGGACGGTGGTGAATACCTCCTTATGATATGTACATCATGGGATGACTTCGTTTATTGCTGGCGTGCTTGACCTGTTGCTGTGAAAATTCTGAATGGAAATTTATTTCGCTGAATTTCCTGTGGGTGCACCGAAATTCGTGATGTCTCATTGGATCATTTCATTGGAATACGTACACTCCCATTTTCAAAATCACTTAAATATAGAAGAAAGGTAAAGATTGCTACATGCTTCAAGTAATCATTTTGCCCCCCCGGATAATAACTACTGGTACAGAAACAACTTCAGAAAGATTAAGGGGTTCCACGGTTCGTGTATCGTGAGCACAATGGGAAGACCAGTTTGGCTGTACTAGTAACGTTAGCGATTACAGCGGTGTCAGCTGTCATCTTAATCGACGACAAAGCGTACTAGGAGGTATTAAGTCTGGAGGCAGACATTGAATGCAATACAAAAACCAAGTAAAACGATTCTGAATTTTTAAAAATTACACTACTAGCTAGTACCATGAGTCATGCGATCCTCTTCTTCCAGGCGCATATCCCTCAATTCCAATGCAATCGCGTCATCGTTAGCCATTATTGCTCCGAGGGATCTTGTAGCTGTTCTCACCATTGACCCCAACAATCGCATGCATTACCTGTCCCCAGGTTCGAAACGTGTTCTCCAATTCAATGATGGCAGAGACTTGATGGATTCCTTGAAAGGCCGACATTCCATTTGCTGCTGCAGTGACTGACAGTGAATATAGTTGAAGAAGCGCAGGTCTAGAACGTTCAGGTCCTCAGTCGCCGGATCTGAACGTTCTAGACACGTTCTAGACTTGGGCTTCTTCAACAATATTGTGCCAACCAGGTCTAGAACGTTCAGGTCCTCAGTCGCCGGACCTGAACGTTCTAGACCTGGTTGGCACATTAGCTGGATGTTCCAACCACCGTCAGTTGCCGCTTGAACAAACAAGGTCTCGTCGACAGCAATGTGCCTCATTTGTGCTTACTTGCTGAAGCTCTTTGCGCCATGCGCTGGTCAAATTTGATTTGGAATTTGTATTGCGAGAAGACATGGAGTCGTAGCAAGTGCGAATGTGGTCATATAATTCAACAAAAAATATGATCAGAAACACCTCAATGAAACCAACACGCTCCACTAAGTTTTAGGCCAATCGGTAACTGGAACACTAATTTTTGTCACCGCCTGCACTTACTGTTAATACTACTGTACCTACCAGAGGTATTCATAACGTTAGTATTTCATTTCTGTTGAGCCGTCAGCAAAATCTGCCTGAGTGAGAGTGTAGGGAAACAATGCTAACAAGTGCATGTACAGTCTGTACAGTATTGGCTGTGGATACGACCATAAATAACTTTTATTTTTCGACCTACAGTACTAGTATCTACCAGCATACAAGCACTTCAGTGAGGCTTATTAGTCCTTTAGGAATTGCAAGCAAGGTTCGTTTACGCGGTAGAACATGCAATGACTTCTGTAGTGACATCTGTAATTAACATTAAAATGCAATATTGAATGAATATACAAATACGAAGATTTATGTGCTAACACGTTAGCATGAATAACCCAGAGCTAAACTTGTGCAGCAGCAAATATACACAAAGTTTTCACCCGAAATACAACTAAAATATGTGAAATCGCGCTATAGTGTGCTTGTACCTTACGTGTTTGTTGTGGGAACCATAGTTCACAATAATGTACAGGGGAGCGGGCAAATTGCCGAGCAGTTTTGGGCAAAATACAGTGACGATAAACGTCAAAATACAATCTGATTATACCGTCCACCATTGCTGATGCCCTTACTACTACGTAGTACTGTACTCCAGTATACTATTGTAGGGGACAGTGGGGAAGATACTGTACACCAGGTTGGCGACAGTATTTAAGTCAGTTTTAGTCCGTTTTAGATGAAGGAGGTAAATAATAAAGCTAGCGATCTATTCTGAAAGTGTTGTCTACTACGTAACGTTAGTATAACCATGACTTGATCCGAGTATATCTTCCAAACGTAAATGGCCATTCATTTAATGCAAGTTGAAAGTTTTCGAGACGATGGTTAGGGTAAAATTATAATTATTTGATTCGCCAAGAAAGAATAGAAAATCTTTTCATTGGTTACAAATTGACTGCAAAACGTGATACTTCGAAGAATATTGATTTAACTGTAAGCAGATGAGTTGAATCATATTCTTCACCAGATTCTTCCCCAAGCAAAAACGCAACTCGGCAATGACACGTCCTATGGTTACCTGGCCGAACCCAAGACATACGCGGACGCTGGTCCTGACTTTGCGTCGTGTTCTGCTGGGTTTCTTTCCTTGCATTACATGACGTACTGGTGGCATTTGACCAAAAGAGCTATTCCGCAGGAGTGCGCGTGTGTTTTTTCTCCATACCTTTTTCTAATGAAGGCCAATTGCAAATGAGAGAGATGCTAACAGTAATATAAATTAACAGTAAGCTCACATGATTGTGTGTTTACCAGTCGTTTCACGTTTCGTATTTATGGAATTTTTCATATTAAGTTACAGTTTGTCCCCATTGTCCCCTAGTCTAACCAGCCGCCACAGGTGAACCCAAGCTCAGTGCCACCGCTTGAAAACAGACCTCCGGTCCAAGGCTTCGTAACTAACGTCCCATACCACCGTCGTTGTCGTCGGCCTCATCGGTGATTCACGTGCAAACACTTGACTCGGCCTTGGGGTCGATATTGCCCTTGATGAACGTACGTATTGCCGTCCATCCTGCAAAAACGTCAAGATAACAGAGACACGCTGACCAATCAAGAACCACCCTGCAATGGTCCACCCTCTCTTGGTAGCATTGGCGATCACAGCCCCTCCGGCGCCTTCCGTTGCCCAAGTTGTTTATTCCCTCATCGCCTGATCGATCCACAGTCCACACGGACAACGACACCAAGGCCGTAGTCTTCGCCTCCACGGATCAGTCGATTCCAACCAACAACACAACTGCTCCCGTTGGTACTCGTACCATGGACCTCTTTTCGAACAACACATCGAGGCTCTTATCTCGGCCATATGTGGGATAAAATGTACTGCCTCCTTTGGGTCGACTGTGTAACGTTTGCAGTACGTTTCCACTTCAACCTTTCCACCAAACGTCATTGTGCCCTTTCCTTAAGTTGCTGGTTGAAACAACGCCTTACCAGTTCACGATTCAACCAAAAATGCAATTGTACACCATGTTGCAGTTAAGTTGGACGAATGCCCAATATATTTGGCGGTGTGCCTATAATACTGTACTACACCATTTTGCAGTTAAGTTGGACGAATGCCCAATATATTTAGCGGTGTGCCTGAATAACTCAAATATTTATATTTCATGGAGGGCGAATGAGTTCAATATTTTGAATAATTATGCTCATTATTCAAATCGCCAAGAACGCACAACATGGACATAGCTGCACCCCACGAAGTCCGGTAAATGATGTCAATTAAAGTACTAGATAACCCCATCTGTAGCCACGAGGCCCCTACAAACGCATACACATCTCTCCGCAAAGCAACGAGTCGTCGCAGCGTTCAGTAACGACGACCACTGGCAATCCGTGGCGTTCGCCAACGGGATAAAGCAAAGCAGTGCTCGAAATTGGCTAAATAGGGGTCGATGCTAACCGTTTGAATCGATAAGCGCTACGCCTCGAATACTTTTACGGATGAGCGGAGGCCATGGACGACATGGAATTCGTGAGGCCAAAACGAGGACGACTGCATATTTTTATGTGAGTTCAATTTTGAATTGGAGTTATTCCATTTTCATTGGGCACACGACACAATTCATCGGGCAAATGGCCAATTACTTGGGCACACGGTTAATTATATCGGGCACACCGCCAAATACATCGGGCATTCGTCCAACTTGCTGTTCATTGCAAAATGGTGTACTTTTTTTGACAATATGAATAAATACTTTTTATTTTGCCAATCTTACGGCGTAATTACGTTTGTGGTAATCCACGGGTGCTTGAGAATGAGCTCCAACGGCAGTCGATGGACGGGGTCTTTTCTCAAAATGCGATCGAGTAAATCCCTCGCTTTGATGGAAACATGCGGCGGACATCGCAAATCCACGGATCGAATGCGGTCGTATGTGGATGGGGTGTCTGCGGCTTCAAATGGCGGTGTACCGACTAATAACTCGTACATGAGCACTCCTAATGTCCAGATGTCCACCTAAACGTAACAAGATTTCAGAGGTCGTACAACAAAATGACATTTGGTGGTTATAGTACCCGTTCGTCGTGAGCCAAGTTGTCCACCATTTCAGGAGACAAGTAGTCCAATGTCCCACACAGAGTACGCCGTCGGACGTTGTGGGACGTCACCGACCAGCCGAAATCGGCCAGTTTGAGTTGGCCCTAAGTGCAACTTGGTCAATAAAGGTACTCGGATAATATTGTGATAATGACGCAACATGCAATATTCATGAATTTACTATATATTGCGTACGTACGTACGTTGTAGCCCAAGAGCAAGTTTTCTGGCTTGAGATCTCGGTGAATGACATGGCGTTGATGCATGTAGAGCAGACCTTGGGCGATCTGGTACACATACGTGGCGGCGAC